TAGCTAGTGGTGTAACTATCACTATTTCTACTATATATATATATATATATATATATATATATATATTTTTTTTTTTTTTTTTTTTTTTTTTTTTTAAGACGTATTCAGATGTCAATTAAGTGACACCAACAATATCAATTGGAATCTCTTTGGCTTTGCCAAAAGAACAAAAAAAACTAGAAACATCACCCGATGTAAAAGAATTCTACCTGTATGCACTTCTTAGAGAAGCTTGAGGATGATAATCTCTGTCATAGATTGGTCCAACAGTGTGAATTACACGAGACACAGGCAACTTAAAAGCTCTGAATATAGTAAAGTTACAATTAGAACAACAATAATAACAAGCTTGACAAAGATTGAACGAGCCAAATCTAGTCTCTATATAAGGGGGCATTTGATAATCGCGTAAAGCGGTGAAAGTGCCTGATTTTCCCTGTTATTGTAGTTTTCACCTATTTGAGAACAGTAAAAATGGAGGAAAGTTGGAACACAAGTTCTCCCCATTCACTATTCCCTTAAGGAAAGTTGTTGCTTTGGGGTACCCCAACACGACTACTTTCAATGAAAATCACGCCATCAGTGAAAGTCAACACTAGGACAATGGCGTTATAATAACATATATTATAAGATTATATTATTACAATAATACAGTGTTTAAAAAATTGGTGATCCGATCCAGAATTGCTCGATCCATATTGGGTATTGGCCACACCATTCCGAATTTTGAAATAAAACGGGATCTAGCCGGATCCCCACCTGAACCGATTGTCCGTACTGGTTCTGTCATAGAGAACCGGATGTCCCGACCGATTCCACCTTATTGTTGACTTTTCCTATTAAAAATATGCATCGGGGGCCCCCACCTCACGACGTGGCATCACCACCCTCTTGGGGATTGAACCACTCTCACGTGGCCCTACTTTCTTGAATCATCACGTGATGGTTATTCCAATGAGTTAAACTTCTTTATACGCCAATTTTCTCCCACATGTCTTCCATGTGGGATAAGTCATCATCGTCCATTGCAGCATAGCTCACTCTAGCGTTATTAACTATATGAGATTATACTTACCAAAAAAAAAAAAAGCCCATGGGATTATACTTACCATAGGCTATTAGCTTTAGCTAATTGGGATTAAAAATAAAAAAATATTACTAGCTCATAGGATATTAAAAAGGCAAAAAATAATACTAATACTAGTTTATTGACCATTAAAAGACATAGCTTATAGGATATTTTAAAAGAAAAAAATAATACTAGCCCACACCACTTTACAATTTATTTTCAAGTTGTTTTATCAATTATCACATATTGCAAGTATGAATTTATTTATTTATTGTTTTAATTTTATTAAAACATTTTAGATTATATATTTTGTCCACATTAATTATTACACATGAGATTTATTTATTTTTAAGGCTCATATCCTTTTTTTTTAGTCAAGTTTATTATAACATTTGGGGAACGATCATGGGTATTTTCAGTACACTTGGTTAGTGTGTATGTGACTTTTGAACTGTCAATCTTAAATTTCAGCACATCTCATAAATTTTGAAACTGATTAACTTAATACTCAGGTCATTCTTTTACTTTCTTACCATTTTTCCTCCCCATAAAAACTCTCACGGGTTTCTCTCCCACTTTCTCTCTCTAATGCTTTCTCATTTCACTCTCCCCTTTGCTCTCTTTAACAATGCGGCTGCATTCCCTCCATGGAGGTGAAGGTGAGTATCGAACCAGCAAGAAGTAAAAACAAGAGGAGCATAAATCATTTGTTTATCTGCCTTTGTTAAAAACGAAAGAAAGACTAATGTGATCTTGCCTAGGAATATATTTTTTTTATTTTTTTTTTCACCCCTTTTCTTTTCTTTTGCCAAAGATCACTTACATGTAGTCTTATTACAATAACTCTTTGCTTCAAAGAAAAATAAAACCAAAAATCCAAGATCTTAAAACCTTGATGCCACTAAACCAAGTTTCTTTAAACAAAGAAAATAACCACTACCTCTTATACTTTGGAATATAAAGACAATATAATTAAATATGCAAGAAACAAAAAGAGTATGCCGAAGATTACCTCAACCGAACTTCTTACACCCTACACCTAGTCACCAATATCCGATGGCATGGGATCGACGATCAACCTTCAATCTCAAACTTAGGTACAAACAACAAGACCTAGTTTAAGCTAGATAGCATCTCCTTACTACTACTCAACCCTTAGGTTCATCAAAGCAAGATGAGAGAGAGATAACACCATCTAGGTGGGGCGTGTCCCTTAGGTCAACCTAGAGAGAGAGAGATAGTCCAAGAGGTGGGACGTACCCCTTAGTATGATCTTGAGAGAGAGAGAGAGCTTCTAGGGTTGGGGCGCGCCCCTATATTTACCAAAGAGAGAGAGAGAGAAATATTTAGAGAGAAGAGAGTTTTTTGGTGTAGAGATTTATGGGCAAGGGGACCTCTTATTTATAGTGCAAAAATAGGATTAGCGTTTCTTAGGGTTTTCCATGGGTTGCCTCTTCTTGTGAAATTGAAGATGAACCATTGATCTTGGGTGACTTGTGGGGTGAGAGATTTGAGCCCTCCATTTCATAGATGGGCCATCAACATCATGGAAGTTGCTAGAACCTTTATCCCCCTTTTCTAAACCATTTTTCCATCAATAGAAATTAAATAAAATAATTCTAAATACAATATTGTGCATACCAAAATAATGCACAAGCCTTCTCATGCTTTCCAAAAATCCATACAAAGCTTCCTCAAGCCAATATCGTTCCAAAACAATCAACAACCTAGCCTTCAAGCCAAAGTTATTTTATCTCAAAAAAATAGAAAGCCCCTAAATGGGTGAGGCGTGCCACCCATGAGAGGATCTCATGGGCCCTACCATCTAAGCCATGGTGGGCCTATGTGCACAATGGGTACCCATGCAATTTTAAATATATATAAAACTCAATAAAATAATTTTAGAATTTATTTTAATATTTAAATCAATGTAAAATCAATATCTCTGTTTTTATAAATCCAAATTTCATAAATAAAATATCCAGTGATCTAGAAAAATTTAAATAATAATTTTAAAATAATACATACCATAAAACAAACATAATAAAATTCATTAGATGGGAAAATGATCCATATGGTCTAGGAATTAAATCAATAAAACATTAGGGCACTCCACCTTCAACTGTGGACTACAGACCACACTTGCTTTATCAAACCGATCCAGTATTTCCCATGACCCACAGTCCATACAAGTTAGTGGGTCACCAAAGTCTTGCAGATGAGCCAAGAGGTCGTAATCCTAATTTATGGATTTCAGGTTCTGCCCAAGAGACGTACCCAAAGGTTCTCTCTCCTTTTAATACAATGGCAAAGCCCCAATTGTGGGCCTTTGGCAACCATGGCAGAGACCACAGGGTTAAAAGTGAAAGAAATTCCTAAAGCAAAAAAAGCAAAAAATAAAGAAATAAATAGTCATAATGGCAAATAGAACGGTGTCCGGGCTTCCCAAAATAGAGTAGCAGTTAGAACTGTGTGCGGGGTTCCCAAACTAGAGGAAGAGCATATACTAATGTGATGGTGGTTTTCTTCAAAACTATCCCGAACTAGAGAGAGAGAGCAAACTGCTGGTTTAAAAAGAGGTAAAAGAGATCGCAAAGAGGATGGAATGGGTGCTAGGCTAGAGAGAGGCATGGAACAGGTGTCAAGTTAGAGAAAGAGAGGATCTTTAACGAGTGTAACCGCTGCTCTAAGATCCAGAAGAAATATATGGCCCAAATGTGCAGTCTCCATGAGTCCATCTTTGGTGTAAAAATTATGTGATTCTATTTTGTGAAAAAAGGGTAAGAAAGAAGGAGCTATGAATCAAGAGGATGAGAGGGTTTTGTTTCTAAAATTTCAGGAAATAAAATAGTGAGAGATTGGATTTGCAGACCGCCATTTTAGTGGATGAATGAGCTTCTTTGATGGCGGCCTGGAAGATGAAAAGGGTGTAGCGCCTTCGTACTAGAAAGGTGCAGGAGAGAGAGAATGGAAAGCTAGAGAAAGGTATAGGAGAGAGAAAATGGAAAGTCATAGAAAGAAGGTGGAGAGAGAAAAAGGAAAGCCAGAGAACAAAAGCAGGGTGTGAAAAGGATAAAAAAGTACTTCTCTAAAAGAAATGGCAAAAAGACTCCAATACACCAGCTTACTGTGTATTTAAAATACACATGATCATTCACCATAATATTATAATTAATAATTATACTAATTACATTGATAACCAAGTCTTATATTTTATGTATTAATTTCTAGAAAAAAATCATGTCTGCCTGCGACCTGATAGCTACAGTGTCAGCCAATGGCCCATATTAAATTTGGGCCGATCTGACAGTCACGACCTCATTTCGTGTTTGAATTTTAATTTTTTTTCTACAAATCCAAATTACTTGAAATTGGGAGCGTCGTCTATTCTTCAAAAATAGAAGAATCTAATAAAAATATAAAAAACTAATTCGCAAAATATAAATTGACCAAAATGCCCCCGAAATGTTTTGGAGGTATTTTGGTCAATTTATATTTTGCGAATTATTTTTTTTGTATTTTTATTAAGCGAGCCTTAATGAGAAAAATGAACGCTTAAAATTTCAAGTGATTTGGATTTACAGAAAAAAAAAAATGAAAATTCAAATACGAAATGAGATTGTAATCGTCAGATCAGCCCATATTAAATTGGGGCTATTGGCTGACACTGTAGCAGTCAGCCCATGGGCTAACAAAATCCACTCCCTTAATTTATTTACATTATAAATTATATAATATACTATTTTTTGTTATAATTGTAAATTGTATTTTTTAAATTAAATGATATTATAAGACAAATTTTAAAATTTATTCTTATTTGTATAGTAAAATGATTATAAAATATAAACTAATAATTCCAATTTCGATGTATAATATTATAGTTAGTTAGGTTGTGATAACTTTGAACAAGTAAAGAGAATTAATAACTGTTTGATGTGATAATAACTGCACTTTATATGGGAAATTATTTTTTTAATATTATAATATATAAGTGTTTTCCAATACTTTTAAATTATTTTGATGCAATATTATAATATTATATTATAATTAACAATTATACAGAATCCAGACATGAAAACATCATCTCAGTATTCACCTATTTTTACAAAGTAATGAAAGTACATAATGCACCACTCTTAATTTCTTTTAGAAACTAAAATAACACTATTTTTAGAGATTTATCATGATTTTTGAAAAAAAATTGGGACAAAAATTGTTGATTCGGCCGATTGACCGATCCGATCCACTGATCCGACACAAGTATGGGTGTGACCGACTCGTGTCAGTAATCCGCTTTTTTAAACACTGCTATAATATATTATAATTAAATAATATAACATTATATTATAATATATTATTTTATTATAGCATAATATTATTATATTAATAATACAATATAATATATTTATATTATATGGATTAGCTAGCTCCTATTTGGAAGGATGCAATTTTTTAACCGATGCAGTTTCTACTCCTGCTAATAGTTTAGCACATTCTTTGTTGCTACTGTGGGGTCATGAAGCACAAGGAGTTTTTAATAAGATGAGGTTTCTATAAGGCCTCGGCTTTATGAAATCAAAATAAAGCCCCACCTCAAATCTTCATCCGGAAAACACTTAAGTCAACAGGAATCTCCATGATGGAGATCAATTTCCAACACCGACAATGAAATTTGAAACTCAAAAAATGGTATAGATCTTGCGGATCATGAACACTTACTTTTAGGACGAAATGAACAGTTTAGATAATTTGCTACAACATACACTATTTTTAGAGCTTGAAATCCTTTTTTTTTTTTCACAACCAGAATGTTCAAGCCAAGATCATCGATGTAAAGGTTTTCTCATACTGGAATTGCAATTTTTAATGAGTTATGAGGTGAAGCCTTTCCTATAATATAAGATCTATTATGTATAACATTATATATTATAATATATTAATGTAAAAATATAACATTATATTATAATAATATATTACCATATAATAATATTATATATAATAATATAATATTATATTCTCACCTTAATATATTATATATAATCTATTATACAATATTGAAATATTATACACTAATATAATATAATATATTAACATTATATAATAATATGATATTATAAGATAATTTAATATGGTATAATATAATGGTATATTATTATAAAATGATTTAATTTAAATTAATTCAATAATAAGACATATAATATATATCTTATAATAATATTATATATTATATATATTAGCTTTCCCAATGCCAAACAGGTGAAAATACTAGCACCATAATTTATCAAATAGGGTCCCCAGTTTTCAGGCTACCAATTTTCATTCGCTTCCCAGAATCTAGGAAAGTTAGTAGCAGGAATTTTCCCATGGAAACTGCAGTGAAAGTTATCAAACACCACCTAAGGATAATTCTAGTTTAGAGCTCACTCTGTAATTCTTGCTTGTCCTGTTGGGCACCGAACACCAGGTTGAACTTCTGGAACTTTCAAGCAAGCTTGCTTCAATTCAGGGCCAGCAGCCCTATGTATGGCTACAACAAAGATTCAAAATTTAACAACTTTCTGTTTATAAGGACAACATCACCCCCTTGAAATAAAAATAACCAAAAAATACCCCTATTTTAAATTGTGGAAATAAATTAAGGGAACATATATCATGAACCATATGGTCATGTTAACAAAAAGGTCACAGGAGAATGGGACACACCAAACAGGTCATTGATTCAATTGTACATTCCACTCTCCATCCATCACTCTCTAACCCACTCATGGCAAGGTGATGATCCTTATGCCCATAGTGCTACCACGATCATATGGGTCGTAGTATATATAATATACATAAAATAAAACAAAATACCTCCATCTACACCACCACCTCCAAGCATTTGTTCGTTGGCGGCATTGACCTGTAGAAGTATTACATGCCAATAAGCACACGGGTATCTAAATCTTTTGACTCAAAGACCAGGACATGAGTGTTTCTCTCAAGCGAAATGTACGAATGCTAGCTACTAAAATAGGCGTTCCTTGTTATTAGCCTTGAAATTTGTTAGTTGGGCCAGTCCATGGCTTAGCATGGATATTGAAAAATCTTGAAGTGCCAAAATGTCTTCTCCAATAAATTAAATTCTAAAAGTTGTAAGAAATAATACCCATGTACATATGCACGACTTCCTTAGCATCAATAAGTCACATAGTCAAAATGCAAAAAAGGAAATGAGTGTATGGCATAGAACTAGAAAAGGCTAGGTTTGTTTTGACACTGTATATCAATTTAATTAGTTTTTTGCACTTAAAAAAGAACAGCTGTTTAGGGAATGTGTTAAGAAAACCTCTGTAAAAAAATTAATAAATAACAAAACAAGAGCACAAAATTTTAATTCAAATCTCAGGACATATTTATAACAAAAAGCCATACTCCCTTGGAGAAAAGGGATTTCAGACATTGAATGAGGGACGATGAAAAATTTCTAAGTTCAAACAAAGGAATGAGTAGCTCAAATATTCACAAAATAAACCCATCATGAGTGAGATTATCATATTGATGCATGGAGATGCTTTTTAAAAAAATAATAGTAATTGTGACCGATGTAATTAAGTTCCATGCTTCTAGAAAATGTCCATGCTTAAAGCATACCTAAACCCAAAATACGTGACGTAAAAGAGAACACTAATTCAGACAATCCTAGAGAAGTAGATTACTATGATTTCTTTCACTGCAGATACAATTTCAATAATTCTGATCCTGTGAAAAAACAAAAAAACAGCTACTTCCGACCATTCAGATAAGGGCAAGCTTTCTATGCTTCCCCTATGGCAAAGAAATTCTATCCGCTCCCTTATCCAACCTTCGTTCTGAATGGAAGGCTAAGATTGCCCCAATCACAACGTCACGTCTCTACGCTATTTTTTTGTCAATTTTTTTTTATAAACTATTTTGACAACAAATTTTTGGACATCCATTCTTCTATTAAACTCGCACCAGCAAAAAATATAAAAAAATATTTTCAATAAAATAAAATAACCAAAATACCTCTAAAAGATTCAAGGGTTATTTTGATCATTATTTTTTATCGAAAAGTAATTTTTTATATTTTTTATAGGTGCGCCAAATAAGATGGCACGTACCAAATTTCATATTCATAAAATTTGTATAAAAAAACTAGAAATAAAATACTTTGAGACGTCGGATCTAACGGTGAGTGACTCTCTTGATCAAAATTGAACTGCTGGATAGTAGGGGGAGGATAGAACTTCTATGCTAGGGGAAGCCTAGAAACCTTTCCCTTGAGATAATAGCGGAGTCTTATTTAATCTTAATTAAAGCATTCTTTAAATTACAGTACCAATTTTATTTCAGTAGTTTCTTTTTTCAAACTGGTTAACTTTGTTGAATAAACAACAACAGATTACAATATTATTTTATTTCAGTAGTAAAACAGTCATTTCCAACAATCAAACTAAACAAAGTAACTCTACTTTCACAAAAGGAAGCACCCAATTTTCTAATGAATAATAAATATTTATTCTTGATCCTGAAATAAAAGGTCCTGCTTTTCTGAAACCAATAAACAAATGGAATCACGCTAGACGAACGCATGATGATCACTCAATCACTAAAAAAACTTATTCCAAGCTAATCACGAGAACCATAATTTTCCTCTTCCAAGTAAAAAACCCTAATTAATCAGAAGCAACTCACAATAGCATCAGATTCACCATCCACAAACCACTTTGTGATATCTCCAAGCTGAACCTTGAGCCAGCAAGTCTCAGAGAGCTTAAAAGAAACCGCATCATCCATGGCCTGCCCTTCTTTCGAAGAACCAGTTCCTCTCCGGTTATCGCCATTATTGGCCATGTTTGATCCTATGGAGAAGGTTCTATAGCTGGAGAAGTTACCTACTGTTTCCTCTAAAGCCTTTAATGGCTGAAACTCTAGGGTTTTGTTGAAACAGAGAAAATAAACTGCAGGGCAAAGAGAGTAAAGTTTCGTATTTGCAGTCAAAGAAAAGGCCGCCACCATTTTCGCAACACATAAAACGAGCAATCCCTACAAGAAAGGCAATTGCTTCTGAGGTGATCCCATGGACCATTTTGTATGTTTGGTCAGGTTTCTGTTTGGAGGAAATGTTCACAAATATCCCCTAAAAATTAGTTAAATTTAATGGAGGAAAATACTCATGCCTTGTCGACATCCAAAATCCACCAAACGGGTAAGATTTTCTGAAATTGTTTGACTTACAATAAAAAATTATAAATCTGATTAAACTAAATTTTACATGTGTATGCGGTTTAGTGAGGTACACTTGAATTAAAAATAAAAAATAACTCAAATAACAATAGTGATTAAATTACTCTTATGAATATTTTTATTTTAGTTTTTGCTAGTTTTTTAATATTCTATTTTGGTGTGAGATAGGTGCACACGTACCCTAAATTTCAAATATACCCGATTTGTTAAAAAACAAAACTATTAAAATTTAAACAATAACAAATAATCATGACCGTACCAAAGACTAAGGATACAGATGATGGAAAAGTTTTTGTATATGTTACTAAGTACAAAGAATCTATATATGTGACTGCTCCCATAGTTGTTCCATCTAAATAGACAACTTAGATGGCTCCAATCACTAGATGCTAGGACCGATGAGATAGGCAAAGATGGGGCAAGTGAGTGAAGGGAAATAAGTTATTTGAAATACAAACTTCATATCCATGAGAGAAGATATTGGATATTAAGATGGGAAATGTCTATAAATAGATCATTTATGTTTTGTACATAGATGTTACAATCATTATTGTTTTTTAAAAGTTAAAATAAGTGATTGTAAGAGTGTCATTGAATAAATATAAAATTTCAACAAAAAGTATTTTCTCTTCGTGATTCATCCTTAGCCGATTTAATATTTAATGAGTGACAATCATTATGACCACCATGTACCAAACATGAATCAATCCCATTAAAATGACATTGATTTGTAGTATAAATGCCTCGTAGACCGGATGACATTTTTTTAGGGTGTGACCATGGACCCGACATCGTTACGATGCAATATCGAAGACCATGGCTGCCATGTGGGTAATGCCATGGAATGAATTAGAGGGTAGTATGAGAGAAGTGCCATTGTTTAATTGGAAGTAAATGGCAGCAGAGAGTCAAGAAATTTCAGAAGCCAAGCAATTGGGTTGCACCCCCGCCATGGTGAAACTAAACGAGCGTTCGCAATGGTTCAATTTGGAACCGGTCGGTTAGATTCGAACGAGGCACTGGTCAGTTTTGGTTGTTTATTTGAAAAAAAAATCCAAAAAAATTATATAAAACCTTCAAAAATAAGCAATTTGTTTGTAATTAGTTTTTTAACCTTTTGGCAAAGATTTGGAAAGTGTTTTAGCCATAAATATTTGCTTTTACATTTTTCCATCTTTTGAAAAAAAAATTCAAAAATATCTTTAGGCACAAATCAATTTTTTTAAAATTATTTTTTCCACTAATGTTCAACTTCATTTGGATGTGCTTATTTAATTATGCTTTAAATATACTTTTTATATTTTTTAGATTTTTTTTGTATTTTTAACATTTTTTTTACCGCCCAAGACTTATTCGATTAAGCCGATTGAACTGGCCAGTTTACCAGTTAGTCGGCGGCTGATTCAAGTTTTCGAATACTGAACTAAACATTAATGATAGTGCTTTTGGCAACCCAGTATACTGGTTACTCGACGACTGGTTCAATTTTTCGAATACTGAACTAAACATTAATGAAATGCTTTTAGCAACCCAGGCCCAACAGGTTTGGGAGGCCTCGTTAGGGATGAGATAGCAAGGGTATTTATTTCTTTTTCCTAGGCCTACGGGGTTTGTAAAACTAATTAGTCAGGAGTACATGCTCTCAAATAGGGGGCATCACCTGAAGCCGGACCTTCAGAATATATTTTCTTAAGGGAGACTAAGTAAATGTAATTTTTTTGGTGCTCTTAGCTATGCAAATCATATTTTAAATATGAAAATAGATTCTCAAACCATCTTAAATATTTGATATAAAAAATGTATCTCATGATAAAATCGGAGGCACCTTTTACTTTGATTGTTTAACGTTGCAAGCTTATGCAAATCACACCCTTTAAAGTAGGCTAAATATAAGGAGAAAATTTCCCTGGTTTCTAATTTTAAATTCTTGTAAGTTTTCAACCTAAATATCGATTGATAAAAATGCATGTATACCATGCTCCAATGAGAGCAAACCGTATACTTACTCCCTTGGGCATAAGACTAAGGCATAGGACTAACTTAGGAAGATGAATTTTTGGAACTAACACGATTATATTTAAAAAGATTTTAAATTTTGAACTTTCAAACATTTAGATCTCATCTTAGAAATTGGAGCTTTTCTATTCAATCTACAGCATTTTTTTTTCAAGCTCATAGATAATGCAACTTAAAAAAACTTTATTTATGGAATTATATGTAATGAGACTATTTACGTTTGATACTAGGAGGTCAAAATTATTTGCATCCATCCCATGTGAATTCTGATAGCTTGAATGTGTCACAAAGCTTGAGATTTTTTTTTTTGAAGTTTGAGTTTGGTTAATGAAATAAATACAGCCATCTAATTTTACATTCAATGGTCAAGATTAATTGTGACCATCTTGTATTAAAAATAAATAGTCTCATTGTATACTTTTTCTTTTGGAAAAATTACAAAAAAACACCTTAAAATGGACTATCTATGCAACTTACCCCACCCCAATCTTTTCTCCCACTTTTTTCCCCAACAAAATTTCCTCTCAAATAATCCCCTCAACACAAAAGTAGCATGAAATAAGACTAAACTACTTTTGTTTGTTTTCACATGGCCTTCTCTCCTATTTTCAACTATATGACATGCTCTAGTAGTACAAACACACGCTCCAGCATTCTGAATGTACACTTCGGTAATGAAAGTTTGAGCCGCTGCGCTTCGACATTATGAGAACTTGCTTCAGTAGTGCAAAGACGCGCTATGGCATTCCGCTCTAGCAATGAAGTCTCTAGAGCCACAGTGCTCCGGCAATAGAGGACCGCACTCCAATAGTGTACAAGCACTCCGGGATTCTGAATGATCACTCCGCCAATGCAAGTTTGAGCCTCAGCACTCTGGTATTATGAGAAGGCGCTCCGACAGTACGTTACTTCCATTAATTGATTTGGTTTGTATGAGAATGGCATTTCTGTCAAAAAAATAATAACTTTTTAATTTGGAAAATGTTATTTTGAAAAAAAAAAAGTAAGAGAAAAAAGCGGGGCGGGTAAGTTGCGTAATAGTCCATTTTAGGTTTTTTTTCTTTTTTTTTTTGGTAATTTGCCCTTTTCTTTATTTATGGAGCATGTCATATGGTTGAAGTGGTTATATGCCAAAAAAAAAAATTTGGGGTCTCTAAGGGTTTCGTTGCTCCCTCGGGAGCATGTTTGGTTTAAAATAAATTCGACCCAGGTTGGTTGTTAGCGCCACCGCGTGTTTTGGGTGTCGTTGGCTCGTCGCTGAATTAGGGTTTTCTGAGCCCGAATTGGGCCAAAAATGGCGTTGAAGGCCGTGTTCTTCGATCTCGATGACACTCTGGTTCTAACTCACGCTGCTGATAAGGCAGCTCGCTTAGCGGTTATGGAGCTAGTGCGAAAGCATCATCCCGCCATTGAAGAACAGGAGATTGTGGACCATTTTTGGAAGGATTTTATCTCTCAACCATGGGATCCCACTAACCAGGTACTTACGGTTTTACTTCTCTTTTTCATGTTCATTTGAATGTGCAATTGTGTTTACAATTGTGATTTTACGCCATGAAATGCAGATTTAGAGGAATCTAGTGTTTCTTTTATTGTCTCACAATTTAGATAATCTTTTCTACTATTCTATTTTTCTAAGATGTGTTGAATGTTTACCGAGTTTGATGTGAATTGATTAAACTGAAATGGTGTTAATTTCTGAAATGCATCCACTTAGAGAAGTTATTGTTTACCTCTTCAATGTAACATTTGGTTTTGGATATGGGGAAACCATTTTTAGTTCACATTATACATGATTGAAATTTCACTTTTTCACCCTATCTATTTTATTTTTTTGATGGAGAAACCAAATGGCATTTTGTGCTTTTAGTACTTGTGAACTATTATTTTGGAACTTTTATATAAAATTCTAGCCAATGTAATGAAAGATGGCACATTGAGGCACGCCTAGGTGGCATCTTCCGCTTTCTTATCCACCAATTCTACAGTTTTGTGCTCTTTGTTACAGATTGATGTTACTGAATGGAGAGCGCAATTATGGAACAAAGCTCTTCAGGAAAAAGGTGTCGATGATATTAAGCTTGCTAGAGTAATTTTTTCCTTCTTACTATTTTCCTTCTTATTTTCTTGTATTTTCTAGCCGACCCAGAACAGTTGGGAAAAGGTTCTGATGTTGATGATGATTTTCTTATCTTTTCATTTTGCTCAGCGGTTGTTTTTTCTCTTATAAATTTAAAGTGGTATCTTATGCTTTCTCATCAGGATATCCAATGCTTGTTTGATTTTACAAGAATGGCTTCATTCAGATGGGCTCCTGCAGTTGAAATGGTATGCTGTTTTAGTCTTCCTCTGTTTCTCATAACATATGATTTGTTTTCTTTCTACAAACATGTTGTATTCAACATTTGCTTGGCTGCAATAGAGATCTGGTTTTTCTTTAATTCTTTTGTCTTTTCTGTTCTTATTTTCTTAAATTGCTATTGCCTCATTTTGATTTGTTTGCAAGAGTTTTTCAATCTCTTAAAAAAATGGCCTGTTCATGGTAAGACTGTGAATAGTGGCTGTACTCTTTCCGAAGATATTAGATTGAGAATAGTGGCTGTACTCTGTCAGACGATATTAGATTTATTTATGGTGCACAAATAATAAAACCTCTATGTATGGTTTTGTACTTGTAGAAAACCTACTAAATCGTTTAACTTATTGAAATGCTGAACAATGAAGGAAATTCTGGAATTGGGATAAGCAGTCAGTCTCCGATTGCTGAAGCATACCTGTTGGGCATGATGCTTGAAACCGAGTGGACTGATAGAAAAACAGAAAATGAGCTAGCATCCGGGTTCAAATCTCTTGGGACATAACATGCAGCATGCTATTCATAGAAATGTGTGCTTGTTGCTTTTTGAAATACTATAAGTTTCTGTTTTTTTAGGAAACCTGTGAACCTTGAATGCAGAATTTGGATTTTCCCTGGTCTCGGAATTGGGTGAGATCGAGCTTGTTGAAAGGTTGCTAGAGTACCTTTTTGAAATGTGGACCTTTCTCATTACGTACTAAGACAGTCTTCTGTTGAGCCACACACTGTAAGATTCTCAAGATGGCCCAAGAGTCTGGGGAATTTCTGGACCATGCATTAAGTAGGATAGGATCATAGGGCCTTCTCTGGGAGTGTCCCTGAAGTGTTTGCTTGGGTATCCAGAAGTTGGGTATCTACAACTTCTCTCAAATGTTTACTGTTTGAGTTTGTGTACTACTTTAACTGATCCATGTTAATGAATCAAGTGATCAAGGAACATAGAGTTGAAAAAGCCAATTGAATTCATAATAGTAAAGTTCTAAAGTCCTCTCAAAATATATTGTATTTTCTAGTTGTGATTGAATTCTTGACTAGTTTTTTTTTTTTTAAATAATTTTTAGAATTAAATAGTTATAAAACTAGTTTTATAGAAATAGTATTCCAGGGTCGTGAAAATAATGCTTTCAAGGCTGGTCTTCTATCGATGCCACATATTCTGTAACTTGGTAAACCAAACTCCAATATATCTTGAGAAGAAACAGTTTGAAGTCCATCTATGCATGCTAGTAACACATAATAATAGTTATTGTGCTCCATAAATGTTAATACCCATGAAAAACATAGAAATTCATAGTTGATGGGTATCTTGGACAGACTTAAGTGGAAGTTGATAAGTTTTTATGTTGGATTTATGCAGATTGTCAAGGATTTGCATGCTCAAGGAATCAAAACTGGAATCATTACCAATGGGCATCCAAAAGTAATTTTTCTAAACTATATATCTGCTCTGTCCATACTTGTATTGATTTCTATCATCTCAGAGTATTTTTCTCCTTCTAATAGGTTCAAAGAGCGAAGCTCCAAGCTGCTGAAGCCCACAAACTTTTTGATCCTATTATTGTTGGTGGAGGTACACTCAGTTCATATCATTAGGGTACATCTCAGCCTATGCTTATAATTTATGAGCTTTCTAATGAGCGCGATTGCTCTTAGTAATTGGTTAGTCACAACATCAGAGCCTTTTCCCAACTATTTGGGGTTGGCTACACGAATCCTGTCTGCCATTCTATTCTATCAAGGGTCATACCCTTAGTGCGGTCATAAGTCCCCATATCTTTTCTTATTACTTCCAACCATGTACTATTGGGCCTATTTTTCGTCTTTTTTGAGCTTTCCACTTGAACCAATTCATACCTCCTAATAGGTCCTATACTGGGTAGTCATAGTTATTAACGATAAATCCATATGAATAGCTTTTACATGTATGAATTCCACTATCAATGTTAGAGGTATTTTGGCACTCAAAGCTGATCTTTTTACATTTTCTTTGTGTTTTTTATTTTCTGCTGCATACAGAGGAAATCCATGAGAAACCTCACAAAAGCATCTTTTTGAAGGCGTGTAATCTTGTCGGAAGCAAGCCTGAAGAATCTGTCATGGTGGGGGACAATCTTAAAACAGATATTCAGGTTGGTACCCTGTTTTTTAAATCTGTTAGAGTGAAATTCATAATGGGTCCAGCTTTGTGAGGAACTGTCCAATTTTTTTTTGAGGGTTCACTCTAATATCCTAGAGTATTGAATAAAAATTGAAAGAATTGTTGGCTTGCTTGAATAGTTGAATACTAATTCAATGTTTTGCTCCAGAGATGCTGTTTTTTCCTTTTTATAATTAATGAATACTCTATAATTGTGAATGAAAGAAGTTGGTGATCTAAGTTTCTCTTTCCAACCTGTTATTTGCAAATGAAAGAAGTTGGTGATCTAAGTTTCTCTTTCCAACCTGTTATTTGCAAATGAAAGAAGTTGGTGATCTAAGTTTCTCTTTCCAACCCGTTATTTGCAGTGTGATTGAGGAACTTTGTTTGTAACACTGTTTGAGGTTTATTTATAGGCTTTACTGCAAAGAAAATCTCTCATATACAGAAAACTGTCAGGTTGACTACCTTGAGAAAGTATGTGCATTATCTGTTGATATATAACTAAAAATCGGATTTACATCAGATTAGTATTGTCTTGTCCTGAGCTATGTAACATGGACACACATTTCGGTTTTTTGCCTATGTCAACACCAGTGACACCACCTTTGTTTGAGACTTTAGAACCTAGGCATTTATCTTCTCCTTGGAATCTCGTTGTAGAGGTACGTAAAATCATCTAAAATCTACCTCCCCCTTTTCTAAATGGTGTGTGGACGTGTCTTATTTGAAAGGCCAATTTCGATGTTGGCATTTCTGCCACTTGTATCTGTGTGAGGCATTGACACGTATGTACGTGTTTGTGTAACATAGCTCCTAAGCAAAGGAAATTGTGAACTTGTTACATTTATTTTGTTAATTGAATGTTATTAATGGTTTTTATCAAAGATCAGGAGATATTTTTGAGTCATTCAAAAAAAGAAAGGGGATCTTTTCATATTTGGGAAAAGTTTATATAGAGCCGAGGCTCTAAACTATCAAATTAGAGCCCACCTCAAAAATTTCTCTAGAAGAGGTTGTTTTGACGCCCAAATATCCTCAAATTGCTCATCTCTACATCAAGATGCGTGGATATGAGAAAAAAAAGGATTTTGAGTTTTGGAAATAGTGCATCTTGTAATGCATTTTTGGACCGTCAATTTTCAAGATTTTCAAGTTTTCACAGATCTGCATGATCTACACTATTTTTGAAGCTTTAAATTTTATAACTAAGGATGAAAATATATTTTAAGGCTATCACAAAGATTTACAGTATTGAAACCATATTTCTCGGTACTATTTGAAGGTAGGCTCTAATTTGATTGTTTAGAGCCTCGGCTCTATACAAACCGCACCCTTCATATTTTGGATCATTTTAAGTTGAGAGCATTAGGCCTATGCATTCCATAAATTTATGGATCTTTTATTCACTTGTTAGTTCGTTCACCATCAATCCATGATGCAGTGCATTCAGCTTTTTTATCTTTGTGCAGGGAGCAAAAAATGCAAATTTCTTGGCTGCTATATGGGTTAATACACATGGATTGGATGAGATTCCTGCTGGTGTTGCAAGACCTGATCATACTGTCAACAGCGTTGCTGAGATCCCACTCATTCTTCCCCTGAACAAGTGATTGTGGTATAAAGTATCAATACTTGAATGCATCCATGCATACAAATGCAACCATGGATATTGCCTAAGATGCATGTTAAATGAAATTTAAGGCTGTATTATTTTCTGGGTGTGCGACTTAATCTTGTATAAGCCAGAAAAGTAAAATTGTTTCACTAGTTAAACGCATGAAGATTGCAGTAAAAGCTGTTTATTGATTCACTGAGATGTCTTTCTGTATAAGCCAGAAAAGTAAAATTGTTTCACTAGTTAAACGCATGAAGATTGCAGTAAAAGCTGTGCATTGATTCACCGAAATGTCTTTCATCCATCGAAGTTTCTGAAACATTTACTCACTTGGTTTTAGTCGTACTTTTGTTTGTTATGAGATCAATTATTGTCCATGACTAAAATAAAATTTCACCTAGTCTTTATGGGGGTCCAATTTTTGGTTGATCCCATCATTGACTTGTCCTGGTTGAGACTTGAAAGTGGATGGTGTAGTTGTTTTAATTGATTTCTTGTTGAATTGGTGCAGATCGGTGTTTAAAAAACCGGAAAGGGGTGCCAGCACCCCCCCAACTAGAGTTGAATCGCTGACTCTTGGAAGGAGAAATGACGGAAAAATGGTGAAACTCAGAACCGCAAAAAAATATAATGAAAAAAGAAGAAAATATCACCTAGAAGGTCCCTACAATGCTTGATTTTGAGCAAACCAGGGTGATTCCCCGGTTTGGCACCATCCTGAATCAAGAACCCCAGTTCTAAGCCAACTTGAGCAATTCTTAGGCTCGACAATTTTCCAATTACTAGTATAAATGTTATTCTTAGATCGTAGTAACTTGTGAAGTAGTCAAGTTAACATATGTTAGTGGATAGAACTGGACCATCCGTATCCTCGAGGGTGAGTCTTGACTCTAGATGATCCTATATGTCATGGATAAAATTCTACCTAATTGGCATGTTTGGATCTGCTTATGTGTGTGCATGTGAATCAGACATCAGAACTCATTTTTTGGTGAGGAGTGAGGACATGTATTTGAGATCGATAACATTAAACCGTCCAGCCTTTGTTTCGTGTTTCTTTTGCAGTTTACGATAGAGAATGGCACATGGTATGATAACGCACTCCTAAATCAGTCCTTACTTTCTTTTGTTTCATGGCTTCTTTTTTTCTCTCCGGTTTCCTTGGCCTAATATGGTGAAAATTGTCTTCTTTTCCTAATCTTTGTCGCTACAAATTTTGGTTGATCCAAGGTTTGATTCAAGTCTGGAGAAAGCTTATGAAAGCACTATGTCCATTTTGTTTTTTGTAAAATTTGGAGAAATGTTTGTGTGAGTTCTAGAAAAGGATATTTTCTGTTATAATATGAATATGGACAAAGTTTATATAAGGTTGCAACCTTAAAATGTAAAATTAAAGATGCACCTCAAAAATCCGTAAGACAAGGTTGTTTTAAGGTTGAAAAGCCCTCCAATTGATCATTTCAACATTGAGATGTATGAATATGAAAAAAGAAAAAGATTTCGAGTCTTATAAATAGTGCATCTTGCAATACATTATTTAGATTGTTTGTTTTCAAGATTTTCATATGAGCAATGATCCAATGCAACGGTTGTATTATAATATGATGCAACAACACTTTTAGAAAACTATATTTGCGGTATTTGTATGACTCCAAATTTTGTACACACACTATCTTCATCTCGATAATCAATCCCCTCCAAAAACATCTCAATAATCAATCCCCTCCAAAAAAAAAGGTTCAATTTGGACCTTAAATATGGTTAAAATGAATTTCCTCAAAAAAATGAATCTAGACCATTCATTTTGTGAATTTTAAAATCTTAGCCTTTATAAACTCAAAATCATTTTTTTCTTTTTTAACATTGTTCATCTAATGATAATAAAGCCATTTAAAAAAATTGGAAATGAAAAAATCTTTTTAAGGCCTAGATCTAAGCATCTCACCAAAAATGAACGGCCTATGTTAATTGGGTTAAAAAATACTTTCTAGATTGTGTTTTCGATTTTTTATTTTTTTGTGATCATTCATTAGAATGAAAAGAATATATATTTCAAATTTTGGATCAAACAAATAGCCATAAGATGGTTTTTTAAGGTTGTTACATTATATTACTATACAACGGTTGCATGAAATAATTGTCTTTTTTATATTTTTTTTTTAGATCTACTTAATTTTAACTTTTTTTGGAGTTTAAAATTTTATAATTAAAAGTGAAAATAAATTTTAAGGTAGAGAAAGGTCTTATATTTCCCTTATAGCATAGAAGATCTATGCTTCCCCTACCATCCATCTGTCCAATTTTGATCAAGAGAGCCACTCATCGTTTGATTTTAGATTTGACATCTCAAAATATTTTATTTTTATTTTTTTTATAAAAATTGTATGAATATGAAATTTGGTACGTACCATCTTTTCATTGGGGCGTACCTATAAAAAATATTAAAAATAATTTTTTGATAAAATATAATGACCAAAATACCCCTTTAAATTTTCAAAGGTATTTTGGTCATTTTATTTTATTGGAAATAGTTTTTTAATATTTTTCGCTAGTGCGAGTTTAATAGAGGATTGGACATCCAAAATTTGGTGTCAAAATAATTTATAGAAAAAAAATTAAAAATAAAATAGTGTCGAGACATGACATTGTGATTGGGGCAATCTTATCCCTCAATTCATAATGGATTATTGGATAAGGGGAACTATATAAATTTTATGCTGTGGGGGAAGCATAGAAAGCTTGCCCTTTAAGATAATCCTAAAAAAAGTGTGTCTTAATTGGATTGTTTGTTGCAACTTTATAGAAACCACACCCTATGAATATTAATCCGCTTGACTTATATTTTTTTTTCTTAGATTGTTTTGAAAAATAAAATAAATTTTTAAAACTATGAGATTTTTTTTTCTTAGATTATTTTGAAAAATAAAATAAATTTTGAAAACTATGAAAAAAGGCTCTGATGACGGTACAAGGACGTAGATACAAGAATCGAAGAATCTGACTTGCCTCTATTTTGCCAAGTCTTGTACGACATGTCTATACAAACTCGCAGCATATTCGTATGTATATATATTGAATAATGATACTATAGGACCTTCCCCCACCCATGTGTATAGGACCACAAAGGATCACCATTACAGTTGGCATGGATCTCTAGAAAAGTTATTACATGGGTGTGGGACTTGACTTTTACATAGATCCGTGTGAAATTTAATGGTGATCCTTTGGATCCTACACACATGGGTGGGGGAGGGCCTTATAGGATCATTTCTCATATATATTTAAGGGAAAAGTTTATATAGAGCTGAGGTTCGAAACCATCAAATGGGAGCCTACCTCAAAATTTTCACTTGAAGAAGTTGTTTTGATGCCCAAATATCCTCAATTTGATCATCTTGACATAAAGATGCTTGGACATGAGAAAAAAATAAATTTCAAGTTTTGGAAATAGTATATTTTCTAACGCATTTTTGGATTGTCAATTTCAAGATTTTAAAGTTTTCATAGATATGTTGATCTA